CATGCATCTATCTCATATATTGGTTTCACCTTTTGAGTTGCCTTACTGACATAAATGAACATTTGCATGATATTCTAATTTTTCGAGTTTCACCTGTATATTTCAGAAATAGATATACCACCACACTCATTTATGAGTAACGTGATGTGAACACTCCTGTGTTGCAGGCCCAGCCCAAGAACAACGGTGAGACGGTCCAGTTGAGTTCAGTTCCTTTATTTGCTTACACCATATAGACAGAATCTTGCCAGATTAAATCTATACTCCTGCAACTAATGGATATTCCCTGGGAGATTCTAGGGAGTGGCAACCCTGAACCTCTTATGTTTCCCGCGCTGCACCTCCGGACTGTGTTGTCTCTCGTCTCCTTTCCCCTCCTGGAATGCGCCCCCTCCTTCCTGACAGCCTTGCTCTCTGCTGCAGTCCACCACATCACCCTCCCCTTCGCAGATACATTCCATCACACGTGTCCTGAGCGTGTATCAGTACACTGCTTATACCTCGTAAGTGGTGGAATGCAGACCACAATATATTGTCTCAGGCCTGTAGCCATCAGAACTCTGTAACAATAAGGAGGACTAGAAATGAACAGCCAAAAAAGTTATTTATATTTATGAAGGAAAGTTAATGACAGCCCAAGAATTCCAATTGGTACCTTTGCTTTCAAATATGAGCCCCATCTATAAGTCATTCAAGACACTTAACTCACTCTCCCACACTTTTGGGGGAGGTGGGGTGGAGTCCCTCACTTCTGGAGTTGTGATCTGACTTGCACCTGGGCAGTATTTACACAGCGGTAAACACTAAATGATGAATGTGCTTTTGTGTGCACAGAAAAGTGAGCATGGCTGAGGTAAAATGGGACTTCAGTTGTGCATATGGCCAAAAGGTGGCCAAACTGACTGGTAGCGCCCTTACTGTTAGCATGGAACGCTGCACAGGCCATGGAGGTGACTTAGATAACCTAGTCTACACCATCTCTGCCTTTCTATGTGTTATGTGAAAACCTCCATTTATCACCCACCATGATGGGCAACAGAGGTAAATATTTATTGGCCGATCTGGTGATGATAATGGTATCCAGAAGATTCCATCCTGGAATGTGAAAAGCATGAACTAATTAATGAAATGAAAGAAAAAGAGAAAAATAGGTATGTTGTATATCTGGGGAAACTAAAAGAAAGGGAAAGTGTGGAGTCCTTGGTGCTCTCTGAGCTTGGTGGTTTGCTTGCAGACATTTCATTACCTGACTAGGTCACATCATCAGTGCTATGATGAGCGTGGGGTCTGCTCCCTGTTTATATACAGTCGCTTGCCCTGCCAGTGTTGGTGGGGGTGTGGCTTTCTCCTTGGTAGTTCCTTGATTAGTTTTCTGCGTGATTGTTTGATGTATTGGTGTGTAAATGGTGTGTAAATGTGATTTATCTCTATGAGGCTACTGATGGGTGATTTGTCTGAATGCCAAGCTTCCAAGAATTCCCTAGCATTTTTGGATTTAGCTTGGTCTAGGATGCTCAGAGTTTCCCAATTGAAACTATGGTTGAGTCTATGTGTTGTGAGATTAAGGAGTTTTCATTGTGTCTTCTGACTGCTAGTTGGTGTTCATGGATGCGCTCTGCTACACTTCTGTCCTACATAGTGGCTGTTACAGTCCTTACACTGTCTGTTGTAGATGACTCCTGTTTTTTCTTCTTGGGCTACTGGGTCTTTTTGTTTGCTTAAGAT